AGGGAGCAGGGGACAGGTAGGCAGCCTGACTTTGGGGGCAGGACCAGGAGGAGATAATGGCGTGGAGTCTGGCCTCAGTGTCTAGAGTGGGGGAAACATTGTCAGCGTCCAGGAGCCTGGATGACCAATTCCAGCTATGTCTCTACAACTGGCTCCCCATCCCTGAGCCTCACTTTTCTCATCTGCAAAATGGAAGCCATCATGCTACCTCACAGAGTTGTTAAAATAAAGAGGAAGTGACCTGCAAATGGCAAAGCGCTCACAAATAAAAGGGGTTATCCTTATCCTTATCTGGGGCGGGGGCCTGGACATGGTGGAGGAAAGGAGTGGTGACTTATACCCCCCTCCCCAAATCCTTGTGAAGGAAACAGCTACATGATTCAGCGGAAGGACTGGGATTTGTCCGAATATAGTTACAAGGACCCCGAGGGCCAAGGAAACCTCTATATTGGTGAGTCCAGTTGTGGTGGCTCATTGGGTGGTAGAGGAGGAAGGGGGCTCAGTCCCTGGCACGCTGGCGCTCTCACCTCCGGTGCCTGCTGGAAGGGTGAGGCCAGGGTGCAGGTGTGACTAGTGGCATTTAGTTCAACTAGCACACACTTACTGAGCATCACTTGTATGCACCCAAAATGCAAAGTCCCTACCCTCATGGAACTCACAGGCCACTGTGCAGGCAGGACTGGGGGCTGGGCATCCAGGGTCCCCTTTCTTGACTAACTTGGAATAGAGAAATAGCTAATGGAGGGGAGGGCCTGGGGGGATGAGCCCAGAGTAGAAGAGGACAGAGTTACTTAGGCCTTGATTGACCTCCTTCCCCCCATCCCAGGGTACACGGTGCAGGTGGGCAGCGCCATCCTGCATCCCACGGACATCACCATTGTGACGGGGGCCCCGCGGCACCGACATATGGGTGCTGTCTTCTTGCTGAGCCAGGAGGCAGGCGGAGACCTGCGGAGGAGGCAGGTGCTGGAGGGCACGCAGGTGGGCGCCTATTTTGGCAGCGCCATTGCCCTGGCAGACCTGAACAATGATGGGTGAGAATCCAGGGACATTCTCTGGGGCCAGGAGAATGGTGAGGTGGGTGGGCTTGCCCAGGCCAGGGCAGAGAAACGGAGGTTTGCAACTGTGCATTTGTTTGCATGCTGTTTGCAGGGATTTGCAAGTCAATTTTGCATGTTGATTTGCAATCAGACTTTATGGGATTCTGGGTATTTGCTTGTCAATTGCATGACACCTGCATCTCCTTGTCTATGCCTGTCATTATGGCTCAGGGGATGTGGGCTGTTCGGGTGTGATCTGTGCCTGCATGGCTTCTCCATGATATGTATTTTCTATTAGATGGGTCATGTTGGCATTTCCATGTCCCTCCCATGACCTATGGCCAGAGATACCATTTGTACAGCCGTGTGCCCTGGCACAATTGTGCCTGCTAAACAAGAGTTACACTGCATATTGGGGGCTGACCCCACACTCCCATTTCCCCCTCCTTCTCTCCTGTGCAGGTGGCAGGACCTCCTGGTGGGTGCTCCCTACTACTTTGAGCGGAAAGAGGAGGTAGGGGGTGCCATCTATGTCTTCATGAACCAGGCAGGCACCTCCTTCCCTGCCCACCCCTCCCTCCTTCTTCACGGCCCCAGTCGCTCCGCCTTCGGCTTCTCCGTGGCCAGCATTGGTGACATCAACCAGGACGGATTCCAGGGTATGAGCCAGCACTCCTGCCCCAGCACACCCACTGACTGAGTGCCAGCTGCATACCAGGGTTGACAGGGCCCGAAGGGGAGACAGGATGGGGCCCAGGCCTGGGGAGCTCACAGCAGTACTAGAGAGAGGAGGTGCAGAGGGAGCCAGCAGAGGCGAGCTCAGTGGACCTCCCGGAGGAGCAGACTACCACTGGGCATTGAAGGCTGGGCTGAGTGTGCACAGTGGAGGGGAACAGAAGGGGTGCAACATGAGTGTGGGATACTCACCTGGCATGCCCAAATCTAGCAGGTGTGGGGTGTTCATGTCAGAGATGAGGCTGGACAGGTGGGGTGGGGGTGGGGGTGGATGCTTTGAAAGCCAGGCAGAAGAACTGGGGCTTTTTATTTGGTTAATGGTAGAGGGGTGTCCAGGGAAGGTTTGGGGGCAGGGGTGTGATATGATACCTTGGTACCTGGTACCTGGAAAGATGATCTGGAGGGAGATGCGGGAAGGATGAAAGGGGGCAAAGCTGGGGGTGTTAAGGTCAAGAATGTAGTATATCAGGTGTGGGGTGTTAAGAGTTGGGATGAGGTGGGAACCCCAGAATAGGGGATGTCACCAGTGTTCTGCAAAACTTGGGGACCAACCAGACCTGGGGTGTCAAGGAGAGGGACAGATTAAGGTGTTGAGCCTGGTTGCCATGGGAGCATCTGGCTTAACTGGAAACCACTGGAAGCTCTGACAACCTCAATTTCCCGGAACATATCTGAGGACCAAAAGGAAGGCAGAGGAGCCTCTAAAAAGCCAAAATATATGCTAGAAACTTCCGTTAACGTAGCCCTAGCATTTCCTGATAGAAGAGTCATCCAGTTTCCACTCAGGACATACTTACTCTTCCTTTACATACTTTTCCAACAAGCTGGGCCTTATCAGATCAAAAGCAGCAACTAGAAGGGGTTCAGTAAAGTTTAAGAAGATAAGAAAACATCTGAGGTTTATTTGTGGAAATAGTGGTCAGAATTTAAAAAGTCTTAACATTTTAACAAGTAAAGTTCATTACAGTGTTGTCATTAAAATCCCGGCCCCCGGCGTTAGACCTGGGCTCCAATGTCCTCTTCTCTACTCATTGGCTGTGCGACTGGGGTTTTCTGAGTCTGTTTCCTCATCTATAAAGTGGCGACAGTAGTACCTACCCCAGCACTCTTGTGAGGGTTAAATGAGATGAGTGCTTGACAAGTACCTGGTAGAGTCGCCAAGGGGACACCTGCTTTTGTGACCCTGCTGGTAAATGTCATCAGAAGAAGCAGGTGTCTGGAGGGGAGGTTGGTGGGGAGATGGAAGGCACTGTAAAAAGGGAAAACAAACACCAGCCTGTTGTCAGGAATCTGGAGTTTAGGCCTGCCTGGGACATTAACTTGCTGTGTGACTCTGGGTAAGTCACTTCCCTCTCCTGAACCTACTTTCCGACATATAAAAGGAGACAGTTGGGCTTGTGATTCAGTTTCAGTTTCAGTCCTGAGCTGCAGAGCTCTGTTCCCTGATGCTCTGAGCACATGCCTGGCAGGGTGAGGTCAATGCCGTGCTGGGCTCTGTGGCCTGGAGCACAGGCTTGGAGAGACGTGGGGCCCGTAGTACCCGGGGTGACCCCTCCTGCCTCTCTTCCCCAGACATTGCTGTGGGAGCCCCGTTCGAGGGCTTGGGCACAGTGTACATCTACCACAGCAGCTCCAGGGGGCTCCTCAGACAGCCCCAGCAGGTACGGATAGACAGGGACTGAGGGGGCCTTCCCCCCTTTCCCTCACCCACCCCCTCCCTATTGCCCCTGGGCCCCCTACCCCAGAGCCTGTCCCGACGCTTCCCTTTGCCCCCAGATAATCCACGGAGAGAAGCTGGGACTGCCTGGTTTGGCCACCTTCGGCTACTCCCTGAGTGGGCAGATGGACGTGGATGAGAATTTCTACCCGGACCTGCTGGTGGGGAGCCTGTCAGACCGCATCGTGCTGCTGCGGTGAGCCAGGGCGATGGCGAATAGGGGCCTTTGTCTTCGCCGGCCCTGTCTGCATGGAGCCCCATACCTGTCTACATTTGGCACCAGGTCCACAAAAGCCTGAGCCCCAGCCTGGCCTGGGGCAGGCAGAAGGCACTGATATCTGCATGTTTGCTCTGCAGGGCCCGGCCTGTCATCAACATCCTCCACAGGACCTTGGTGGCCAGGCCATCTGTGCTGGACCCTGCACTCTGCACAGCCACCTCCTGGTGAGACTCTCAGCCCCTGCTCTGCCCACCCACTCCTCCTTATCATGGGCAGGCCGGGAGGGGGCCCTGGCTCCCAAACCCCTCCCCTGGTAACTCCTAATCATTAGAGGGTTGATTACTGGGGTAAGCATTGCCCTCCCTACCCAACCTCATTAAAAAGCAAAATTCCTTGCATGAGGTAGCAGATGAACTGGGGGGCAGTAGGCATGGTAGTTTGGAGTGGGAGCTCTAGATGGCCTGGTTCAAATCCCGGCTATGCCCACTGCAGTAGTCAGGGCGGGCTCTGGGGAGTGAGATCCTGGAGGAAGAGGGAAGAGGGAGACACGTAGGTGGACAGATGTGGGGAAGGAGAGAGAGCCATCTTGAGCAAACTATTAATCTCTCTGAGTCTCAGATTCCTTGCCTATAAAACAAGTTAATAATAATAACCAATTCACGAGGTTGTTGTGAAAATTAAATGAGATAATATATAAAAAGCCCTCAGCACGGCGCCCTGTACCTGGTAAGCGCTCAAAAAATGTTAGTTGCTAAGATGGTGACGATAATGATGGTGATGACCCCACATCTTCGTGTGAATGAGGATATTGGATCAGAAGGCAAAGAGAGACAGAGCAGGGAAGCAGGGGAGTGGGTGGTGGAAGGAGAGCTGGACTGGGGATCCTGCACTAGACTGGGCTGTGCCAATGACTGACTAAGACTTCAGGCAATGCCTTCTGCTCTCAGGGCGTCAGTTTCCCCACTGGTGACTTCTAACCTTGTTTTCTATGGCTCTAATGGAAGTGGAGAAGGAAGGGGCCAGGGACACCCCAGACCCGCTCTGTAGACCCCCCAGTTTTGCCCTACCTTTCCCCTGAAGGGCCCTGTTTCCCCTTGCCCAGGAAAGGGGCGAGAGCTAGGGCCTGGAGACCTGGGCCCCACCATGACCAGGTCCTTCTGTATGTCCCTCGCCCCCTAACAGTGTGCAGGTGGAGCTGTGCTTTGCTTACAACCAGAGTGCCGGGAACCCCAACTACAGGCGAAACATCAGTGAGTGCTGGGGTGCAAGGCGAGGGGGGCGTGCTCACCCAGCCACTTGCTGACCGCCCTGTCCACCTGCAGCCCTGGCCTACACTCTGGAGGCTGACCGGGACCGCCGCCCACCCCGGCTTCGCTTTGCGCGCAGCCAGTCAGCTGTCTTCCACGGCTTCTTCTCCATGCCGGAGATGCGCTGCCAGACGCTGGAGCTGCTCCTGATGGTGAGGGAGGGGCGGGGGGCAGGACACAGGCTCCAAGATCCCCCAGAGTCTCTCCAGGTCAAGGGTGAGGCACTGGGGTCTCCCCACAGACAGGAGGGGGAGGTCGGTGTGGAAGGCCACAGGTCTGTAAGGGGGTACAGTGCACAGCACCCAGCAATGGTAGAGGAGAGATAGAGACCCTCGGAGTGGGGATAAGGGCCAAAGGGCTTGTCACCTCTGCGAAAGTGAGGAGTGTGGGACTCTTGGCTCAGCTCAGCTCTGGGGCAAAGGGGTCCGTGAGTGGGAGGCATGTTCAGCCCCCCTCTGAGACATCAGGGTGGAAAGGGAGAGGTCAACTTGGGGCCCAGGGGGATGGAGGCTCAACTCTCCCTCCAGAGGGATCTTTGGAGAGGAGGAGGCCCATCTCCCAGCTTGTGGATCAAGGTGGTAGAAAGGGAGTCAATTTGGTGGTTGGACCAGAGGGAGTTCAGCCTTACTGCAGGGTTTTCAGGGTAAAGGGGCCTCAGCTCCTCCCTGGGGGGTTCAACTTGTGGAGGAGAGCAGTGCAGAGCTGGGCTCAGCTTGCCCTCCTTCCCAGGACAACGTCCGCGACAAACTCCGTCCCATCATCATCTCCATGAACTACTCTTTACCTTTGCGGATGCCCGAGCGCCCCCGGCTCGGGCTGCGGTCCCTGGACGCCTACCCGGTCCTCAACCAGGCGCAGGCTCTGGAGAACCACACCGAGGTGGGTGGGGCCGGGGCCGGAAGGGCGGGGACCGGGAGGGCTGTGGGGAGGGAGAGCGCTGTGGGTGGTGGGCCCCTCACGCCTCAGTCGCCCGCAGGTCCAGTTCCAGAAGGAGTGCGGGCAGGACAACAAGTGCGACAGCAACTTGCAGATGCGGGCTGCCTTCGTGTCGGAGCAGGGGCAGTGGCTGAGCAGGTGCGCTCTGGGCCGCGCCGATTGGCCGAGGGTGGGGCGGACTTCATTGGCTAACGGGATTGGAGGGGCGGGGCCTATTGGTCAGGGGGATCAGAGAGACCCAGTAAGATCTGAGGGGAGGGGCCTCAGAGAGAGGCGAATCTGAGAGGAAGGACTTTAATCCGCCAGATTAATCCGTGGGAAAAAAAGGGGCTTTTTTCTCCAGTGAGCATAGAGGGCGGGGCCTGTCTGTACCAAGAAGGGCTTTCTTCACCTAGTCATCCCAAGGGGTGGGGCCTGAGTGACCTGGGGAGGGCCTGAGGGCGGGGCTTGCGCTCAGTCCGGGGCTCCTCCCCCCTCAGGCTCCAGTACAGCAGAGACCTCCGGAGACTGCTCCTGAGCATCGACGTGACCAACACCCGGAGCCGGGAGCGGGCTGGGGAAGACGCCCACGAGGCGCTGCTCACCCTGGTGGTGCCTCCCGCCCTGCTGCTGTCCTCAGTGCGCCCCGTGAGTGCCCTCCGCCCGGCTCAGAGCCCAATTAGGGCTCCAGCGTACTTGCCTCCTTATGTGCATGGCGTTTACATGTGCTATCATTTGCCGTGTGTTCCCCCTCCTCTGGGCTGGGCCTCCTCAGGTGCCTGCAGCGTCTTGAGACCGGTCTTGAGACCCTGTGTCACAGGGGAGGGGCGGGAGAAGCCCTACCCTGACCACCCAGACGTGGTTCGTCTTCTTTCCTCAGCCTGGGGCCTGCCAGGCCAACGAGAGCATCGTTTGCGAGCTGGGGAACCCCTTCAAAGGGAACCAGAGGGTGAGCACTGGCCACACTCTCCCAGCCCTGTGGGTCCCAGGCTGCTCCTCTGATGAGCTCCTTATCCTTCTTGCTTCTGACTGCCTGCTTCCTGGCCTTCCTTGAAGCAGAGAGCTGGAGTAGGGGAGGAGGAGATACAGTAGAGGGTGGAGAGACCCAGAGACTGAGAAAACTGGGGCCGCTAGGGGAGCCATGCACCAAGCTAGAGCAGGTGGAGAAGAGGAAACCAGTCTTGCTGAGCGCGTGCTCTGTGCCAGGCCCCAAGCCCAACACTTCTCTTCTTTTGTGTGATATAATTCTCACAACCTTCTGAGGAGGTAGATGCTGATTTACAGAAAGGAAACACAGGCTTAGAAAGTTCCAGTAACTTGCTCAGGGTCGTGACACTCAAAAGTAGCAGAGATGTCACTGATGGAGAAAAAAGGTAAAGGGAAGCAAAGATGAGGCTAGGAAGGTGAAGGAGTGGAAGTGGGTGAGGAAGTGGAGAAGCCCAGAGAACCAGCTCCTTAGCATAGAGTTCAACCCCTCGCTCCCCCATGGCATCACTCCTGCCGGGCCTGAAACGCACCTCTCTGCCGCCCTGACCCTCATGGCAGATGGAGCTGCTCATCGCCTTCGAGGTCATCGGGGTGACCCTGCACACAAGGGAACTCCAAGCACAGCTGCAGCTCTCCACGTGAGTGACCTCGAGAAGCCGGTCAGTGTCAGGGTTGAGGTGCCCTGGGGCCTCCCCCAGCCCCAGCCCCTGCTGATGCATCTCCTCCCCTACCCCTGCATTCCCTCTCTAGGTCAAGTCACCAGGACGACCTGTGGCCTGTGACCCTGACTCTGCCAGTGGACTACACGCTCCGGGCCTCGCTCAGCATGTGGGTACCACTCCCCCACCAGCCTGCTGTGGCTGAGCTAGGGTCTCCCTGTCCCCAAGGTGTCTCCCAAGCTCCTCTGACACACCTCTCTTGGCCTGGTATCCTCAGGCCTCCACTTCCTCTGGGTCATCCTTTCCCTGAACAGCAACAATCACCATCATTATTGTTATTACCAGGTAGCAGTGGAGGAATCGGCACCCCAGGGGCTAAGGTGTTGGTGTGGCCCTATCATTTCTTGACAGCTCATTGTGCTAAGGATTTTATATGCATCATCTCACTGATTGCTTGCAACAGCCCCATGACGTAGAAACTATTAAGAACTGCACTTTCTGATGAGGAAACTGAGGCGCAGAGAGGATAAATAACTTGCTTGAGGCCACACAGCTAGTATGTGGCAGAGCTGGGATTTGTCTCAGGTCTGCCTGATGTGGGAGGAGCTGTAGTTAACCAACCTCGGTGCTTACCCCCTCTGCCAGGGCCCCTCTCGTCCCCTGTGACTCCAGCGTCTTTCTTACCCCTAGGGTGAGTCACCGGCTACAAAGCTTCTTTGGGGGGACAGTGATGGGCGAGTCTGGCATGAAAACTGTGGAGGATGTGGGAAGCCCTCTCAAGTATGAGTTCCAGGTAAGGAGGCCTCTGGGACCCTGGGCTGGGGACTCTTGGGAAGGGTGATGGAGGGTTTTTTTCTGGGTCTGGGGTCTGAGGGTGTGAGGGTTGGGGGTTGGTGAGACGGAGGTGATCTTGCAGGAGACAATGGCCATGACACCCCTTGTGCCTACAGGTGGGCTCAATGGGGGACGGGCTGACAGCCCTGGGGACCTTGGTCCTAGGGCTGGAGTGGCCCTATGAAGTCATCAATGGCAAATGGCTGCTGTACCCCACTGCAATCACCGTCCATGGCAATGGGTCCTGGCCCTGCCGGCCACCCGGAGACCTCGTCAACCCTCTCAACCTCACTCTCTCTGTAAGGACACCATCAGGGGTCTTTCAGTTGTGTCTCTTTTGCATGCTGCAGGGCAGAAAGGCCAGTGTCTTCCCCTCCCTCCCCTCGTGCACCTTTGGGAGCCTGCCTCTCCCCCTGCCCTTTCTTCCTCTCCCTCCCTCTGCTCCCTCTCCTTCCTCCCAGCAAATCTCCTCTTCCCTCTTCAGGTCCTTGGGGACAGGCCGCCATCTCCACAGCGCAGGCGGCGACAGCTGGACCCAGGGGGAGGCCAGGGACCCCCACCTGTCACTCTGGCTGCTGCCAAAAAAGCCAAGTCTGAGACCCTGCTGGTGAGTGGCCATGTTAGGGTTGGAGAAGGCTGTGCCCACACACGCGGGGGCACGCGAAGCAAGGGAGATAGGCGCTACTCACCAGGAGACCCCAGTCTGATGAGGTGATGTGGCCCCTGCCCCCAGGCAGAGGGGGGGTACTCGTCTCCTGTCCTCAAAGGGCACCCCACTGCCCTTGCACTTGGGGAGCAGCCAATACAGTGGACCAAAGGAAGAGACACTGGCTCTGTTCCCGGCAGCCCCAACCTGTTGGGAGCGATAGAGCTGCTCAAAGCCTTGGACGTCAGGGCTGGGGAGTGGGGAGAGGCAGGATGAAGGTGGGACAGGGAGACGGGGGTGGTACAGGTCACCCTCTGTTGGAAGGGAGAGAGAACAGGCCTGGAAAGAAATTGAGGCCTAGCTGGGTGGAGAGGCAGGAAGTGGTGTCCCAGGTGGAGGGAGCTGGCATGAACAAAGGCTCAGTGTGGGAGGGGACTGGGAAGGGGGCGTTGGGGATTGGGCCCCATTTCCATGAGCAAGGATCAGATTTCATGTTATCCATGTCCCTATTTACTTGGCCCAAAGAATGTGCCTTAAACATGAGTGTGGGGGTGAGGGGGAGCATGCATGAGTGAAGGGATGATGTCAGGCCCCTTTGGGTCAGCCATGGGTGGGACAGAGCCAGGGGTGAGTCGAAGGTAGGGGGTGAAGCATGAAGAATCTGGAGACCCAGACTGTCTCATGTCCTGTGTTCCCTACCCACCTCAGAGCTGTGGCAGTGCCCACACCCGCTGTGTATGGCTGGAGTGCCCCATTCCTGATGCCCCTGTCATCACCAACGTGACAGTGCAGGCACGAGTGTGGAACAGCACCTTCATCGAGGTCAGTGCCTGGGTCTGGAGGTCTCCACTGCCACCGCCCCGGACGGGGAGAGTGACAGGGAGAGGGTGAGGCCAGGGTGCATGTGTGTTCATGTGTGTGTGTCTGTGACAGCATCATGTTTTATGTGTGA